GAATTTGTACCATTTGCGAAATACACTAGTCGATAGTCGTTCGTACGGCCTTGCCCTGAAGTTCTCGTTAGAACTAGGGATGTCTATTCTGCATAAGAATTAGAGGATTCCTGCGAAATCAGATGTAGTCCTATTTGTTGATTGTAATGTAACTATTTATCTGTGTGAGTTTATCTATTTGAGATTCACAGCCTTCTAGCAAAAGAAACAAAGCCCCAAATTCTTTGTGGTAGTTTGTGGCTTGCAACAGTTAACAGACCAGAGTCTTTAATTTCTGGAGCTAATAGTTATATTTTAACTAGTTTGGGCAGACATTTTTGTGTTGTTCCAATCAATAGGTGACATCAGATGCATTTATCTGACATAGTGAACGACCATATCCATGGCTGATTAATTAATGCACAAGAAAGTGCTACTGCAACCAGTTAAATTTCATGTCTACCTTCCCTGTACTGAGAAGGCTTGGTGGTTCGTGCATTGGTTTCGTGATTTTAAAGAATGCAAATGTTCTCTGTAGCAACTGATGGGTACATTATTCATCCCGTCGACTGTAGGATCTTGCTCTTAGGAGCGGTCCACGTTGCACTCTACTTATGAAGACAGGAGCATGGACCCCATGATTAGACCAGATTAATCCTCATTGAGTGACTTATGTTGGTGTGTCAGCTCAGGTCCTCCCTCTTTAAAGATTTCAGCAGGGATCCCGTCTGGTCCACTGGCTTTGTAATTTTTCTGTTGGCTGATGGCATTGCTGACTTCTTCCAAACTGGGCAGTGCTGCAAGCTCATCCCTGGTTTGTTGTTGTGGGATTTGTGAGAGGACCTCTTCGGCCACATTGGAGCTGCGGTTCAGGAGGCTTTGGTAGTGTTCTTTCCAACGTAGTGCAATTGAGTTTTGGTCCTTCAGGAGTTTGGATCCATCTGATGAGCGTAGAGGCTGTATGCCATGGTTTCTTGGTCCGTAGATGACCTTTGTGGCCTTGAAAAATCCCTGAGCATTATGGGTATCTGCCAGGTGTTGGATTTCTTCGGCCTTCTTTGTCCACCAGATGTTCTTGAGTTCTCTTGGACCTTTGGACCTCAGCTTTTGCACTGGCATAGATCTTTTTCTTAGCTGCACAGTTGATGTCTCTCTGCCATGCTTGGAAGGCTTTCCTTTTCTTGTCAATTAGCTGTTGGATCTCGATGTCATTTTCATCAAACCAGTCTTGATGTTTCTTGGCTTGGTATCCAATAGTTTCTTCGCAGGCTTGGATGATGGAGGTCTTCAGTTTGTTCCAATGTTCCTCAACATTTTCGGGGTGTACTGTGGGTAGATGGTCCTTGAGTGCTGTTTGGAGATGGGCTTGTCTGGAGGGCTTCTGAAGGGCTTGGGTGTTCATTTTGCGCCTTGTCTTCCTTCCTTGGAGTCTGCGCTTGGGAAGGATCTTGATAGCCATCGAGGATCGAATTAGCCTGTGGTCAGTCCAGCAGTCGTCAGCACCTGTCATGGCTCTTGTGAGGAGCACGTCACGGCGGTCTCTGGCACGTGTGATTACATAGTCTAAGAGGTGCCAATGCTTTGACCGGGGGTGCTTCCATGATGTCTTGAACTTGTTTTTCTGGCGGAAGAGCGTGTTGGTGATGACAAGGTTGTGCTCCGCACATTTGGTGAGAAGCAGGATGCCATTTGAGTTGCTGTTTCCAACCCCGTCTTTTCCTATGGTCCCTGGCCACAGGTCGAAGTCTCGGCCGACTCTTGCCGTGAAGTCCCCCAGGAGGATGATTTTGTCCTCCTTAGGTATCCCCGATAGGACGGTGTCCAGCTGACAGTAGATGTCTTCGTCAGCATCTAGTGTTGGTGCATAGGCACTTATGATGGTTGCCCGTTGGTTTTTGGCAAGATCGATTCGGAGGGTTGAGAGTCGTTCGTTGATGCCAGTGGGTGCTTCGGACAGATGTTTCACCAGATCATTCCTGATGGCAAAGCCAACTCCGTGCATTCTTTGGTCTTTTTCGGGCAGTCCCTTCCAGAAGAAGGTGTAGCCTCCTTTTTCTTCCTTCAGCTGTCCCTCTCCTGCTCTCCGGGTCTCCTGAAGGGCTGCTATGTCGATGTTGAAGCGTCCCAGCTCCCTTGCAATGATGGCAGTTCTGCGTTCGGGGCGTTCACTGCCACTGTTGTCCATCAGAGTCCGTACGTTCCACGTACCGAAGTTCATTTTCCTTTTTGGCCGCAGGGTGGTGACCCCACTGGACGCGGCAGTCCAGTCAGGGATAAGTGAGGCAGACTATGTTTAGGGCACCTTTTCTAGCCCCCTCCCCATGTGGGGTGAGCAGAGTGGGTCCTCAAAAGGGCTGCTCAGTCGCGGATACAGCTGCCGAACTACTCAACTGCCTCGGACCTTGAGGTAGAACGACTGAGTCCCTACCCACCGCCCATGTGCCAGTCTGTGACTAGGGGCTTCCAGATTTCACAGTCCTGCCCCCATCGCCACTCGCTGATCGCCATGGGACTTTGGTTGGTTTGTTTTTATTTTCTTTGGAAGACGCCTGTGCGTGGGTTTTTTTAATGTGTGGAGGTCAGTGCACAACTGATCAACACACAGACTTCACAGAGTGAGGTTCCACTGGTGGTGTAGTTTAACACAATGACCGTGGCTTCTCAGTCTGTTGCAGCCTTCTTCCGCCTTCGCAGCCGTTGTAACATGTACCATGTTATCCTCCGCCTGCTCCGCCGTTGAGGTCTTTGGGTCTTCGGACTGTGCTTGGTCTGGAACCTCCCCCGCGGCCACTCCTGGGAGTGCACGACTCCAGTTGTTGTGCCTACAGGTTCATCGGAACGCGCAAGCCCCCTCACCACGACAAGGTGACAGTCCATCGAGGGGGAGTATAGATGCACTCTTATTGTAACAGTATATCTTAGACCACATCTTTCCTTCAATAACACAAAGTGACACAAAAGTGGCTCACAAAAAGTAGAGAGCTTTTGGTCCTCCAGATTTTTGTGCTAGTGCTCCCACAATCCCTTCCCATTGGTCATGTTAGCTGAAAGTGTCCGCCCTACACACACACACACACACACACAACGGAGCGCTCAAAGTCGCCCATCCCTGATATAAAGTGTCTCCTTGTGCAATGCAGTTACCTTCAGACACAAGGGAGCATGAGGCCACCACTCATTACAAGTAAAGACTTGCCAGCTAGCAAATATTATGGCAGGAAACACATCTGCAGTCAAGATTTTCATGGGACTATGTGGAATTGTATTGCAGATTTTTTTTAAAAATATAGTGCATCAAAAAGCCCTGCTAAGAAAGAAGATAAATGGATGTAGCTGTACCATGGATTTAGATATGGCAGATTAAGGCTGCCAGTGTAAACAACGCTGATTTCAGAAGGGTGTATTTCAAACTAACTCAGCACAAGAGAATCACATTTTCAATTATGCCCGATGCTCCCAAACAGCTACTGTGAGAACAAGGAATTACAAAGCACTTTGGGCAGAAAGTTGAATGGACATGGTAAACAACCATAATCCAAATGAAACCTAGGTTGCATCTACAAAGTAGAATGAATGCAGTTTGACACCACTTTAAATGCTATGAGTCAGTGCTATGAAATCATGGGAACTGTAGTTTTATAAGGTCTTTAACATTCTCTGCCAAACAGTGCTGATTCCTCACCAAACTGCAACTCTCATCACTCCATAGCACTGAGCCATAGAACTTAAAGTGGTATCAACCTACATTAACCTTACTGTGCAGATGCACCCCAAGACAGTCAATTCAATTGTATGGCACCACTTTCATCAAAGGTTTTTTTACATTCTTTCTGAAGCTTAGTCTTATACCATAGCTGGGTTGCTGTGAGTTTTCCGGGCTGTATGGCCATGTTCCAGAAGCATTCTCTCCTGATGTTTTGCCCACATCTATGACAGGCATCCTCAGAGGTTGAGGAGTCTCCTCAACCTCTGAGGATGCCTGCCATAGATGTGGGCAAAATGTCAGGAGAGAATGCTTCTGGAACATGGCCATACAGCCCGGAAAACTCATAGCAAGTCAGTGATTCCAGCCATGAAAGCCTTTGACAACACATTATACTATATCTGTTAGTATTATATGTATATGCTTCTCTCCAGAAGAAAAGTAGGTCTTCTTTTAAGCAAATTGTGTCTTGCAGGGTTTCATGCACCTAAAACCAGGAGCACTATAGGAAACATCCATCATGTCTTAGCAAATAAATATTTGCAAAGCTAAGACTCTTGCGATGGCTTGGCGAAGGACCGAGGCCTTTCCAAAATGGATGTTCCCTTTAAGCATCTTACTCTCGTAATTTCTTGGATTAAGGGAGAAGGAATGCACATATAATCTAGTCTGGATACAATACAGAGCATACTATTTATTCAAGCTCTCCAAAATCACAGCAACAATGCACGCCTCACAACTCTGCAAAGAAGGCCTGTGTGTCAACTACCCCCTCCCCAAAATCCCCAAAATAACTATGTTGATATGAAAATATAATGCAGAGTGTGCATCAATCGACATCTACAGATCAGTAATCTCACTGTGCTTGTTTTAGTCCTGTCACTGGAGCCCCTCAAGTTTCTGCAGCTCCCAAAAATCAGAACACAGTGCAATGTTTACTATAATTAGTACAATATTCAGATACTTATTTCCAGAGATCATTCTCATTCAACTATCATTAAGGATGTTCTCAACGCTGGAGGAAAACAGCACAAAAACACACATCCAAGAACAACACAAAATGATGCATAAAAATAACTCATATATAAACAACACGCCTCTCCATCCGTGTGGCTTTCCACTCCCTCCCTTGACAGCTGCAAGCAAAACAGGAGAGGCGGTGGGAGCCTGGGATGGAGGCAAGGATGCATTCAGAGGCTCACCTCTGCCTCCCCCCGCAACCGAGTTGGCGCGCCCGGTTTGCTGCAGGTTCCCCCGCCTCGAGGGTCAAACCATTTGGAAAATAGGGGGATCCCTTTGCGAACAAGATCCCCTTTACCTGGTGGTGGTGACGGCGGCTGCTTGGGGTTTGAGGTAATCCCCGTCCTTATTGTTGTTGTGATGGTTATTTTCCTCCCCCTTCACCCGCTCTGGGGCCCCATGCTGGGCAGGGAACGAGGTGCTGCCGTCGCCCCAGAGCGCTGCTACTACTGTTGTTGTTGTGGTGGTGGTGGTGGGGGCCCCTCCGCCCGCGGTGCAGCTCCCCGTCGTCTTCTTCTTCTTCTGCTGCGGCAGCCACCCAGCAGCCGGCTATGACGTCACAAACCCGCCAGGCTCCGCCTCCTCCTTCGCCTCCGGCCTTCGGCTCCCTCGCCCCCTACAGGGCAGATGAGGTCATGGCAGCCTCCACAAGCCCAAGCCTTGGGGTGCAGCAACTATGGATGCTTTTGAACTGGGGTGTTGGAGGGAAATTCTGAGAGTACCTTGGACTGCGCGAAGATCCAACCAGTCCATACTTCAGGAAATGGACATGAGATGCCACTTTGATGTCCGAAAGCAAGGAGGAGCTGAGGAGCCTTCTAACCAAGGTGAAAGAAGAAAGTTCTTCCTCTTAACATGAGGAAGAACTTCCTGACTGTGAGAGCCGTTCAGCAGTGGAACTCTCTGATGTGTGGTGGAGGCTCCTTCTTTGGAAGCTTTTAAACAGAGGCTGGATGGCCATCTGTCAGGGGTGATTTGAATGCAATATTCCTGCTTCTTGGCAGGGGGTTGGACTGGATGGCCCATGAGGTCTCTTCCAACTCTTTGATTCTATGATTCTAAGTACAAAAGCTAGGTTTCAGGTAAACATATTAAAAAACAAGATTCTGGCAACCAGACTGAGTGATAACTGGCAAATAGAGGGAGAAACCGTGGAGGCAGTGACAGACTTTGTATTTCTTGGCACAAAGATTACTGCAGACGAAGACTGCAGCCAGGAAATCAGAAGACGTTTACTTCTTGGGAGGAGAGCAACCATCAATCTCGATAAAATAGTGAAGATTAGAAACATCACACTGGCAACAAAGGTCCGCATAGTTAAAGCAATGGTATTTCCACGTAGTAACCTATGGATGTGAGAGCTGGACCATAGGGAAGGCTGAGCAAAGGAAGATAGGCGCTTTTGAACTGTGGTGTTGGAGGGAAATTCTGAGAGTGCGTTGGACTGCGAGATCCAACCAGTCCATCCTTCAGGAAATAAAGCCCGGCTGCTCATTGGAGGGAAGGACAGTAGAGGCAAAGATGAAGTGCTTTGGCAACATAATGAGAAGACAGGAAAGCTTTGAGGAGACCATGATCCTGAGGAAAATGGAAGGAAAAAGGAAGAGGGGCCGACCAAGGGCAAGATGGATGGATGGTATCCTTAAAGTGACTGGCTTGACCTTGAAGGAGCTGGGGGTGGTGATGGCCGACAGGGAGCTCTGGCATTGGCTGGTCCAGGAGGTCACAAAGTCAGAAACAACTGAACGAATAAACAACAAAAACAAATGCAAAGGTAGAGGGAACGTGGGTTATCTCCAAACATCTCGCCAAAGTAAGTTTTATCACACACAACCTCTCCAGGAAAGGTGCACAGAAGTCCTGACACGCTAAAGCATTCTTGGCTTTTCAAGTATGTCGAGAAGGTTCTTGGTCTTATAAATACTAGTGTACACTATTCCTTTTGTTCAGTTCAGGGATTCCCTGAATCTCACGTTTGTGGTTACATTTAAAATATTATCTCTTTAATTCAAAAACTATTTCCAAACTATGTTATACAAAACACTCAGGCAATAGGAATAGATGAAAGATGAAACTTTATGAGTTCACAATGCTTAATTCACAATGTTTTTTGAAATGTAACCAGCCTCGAGCCACGAGTAGAGGTGGGTTGTTGTTGTTCATTCGTTCAGTCGTCTCTGACTCTTCGTGACCTCATTGATCAGCCCACACCAGAGCTCCCTGTCGGCCGTCACCACCCCCAGCTCCTTCATGGTCAGTCCAGTCACTTCAAGGATGCCATCCATCCATCTTGCCCTTGGTCGGCCCCTCTTCCTTTTACCTTCCACTTTCCGCAGCATAATTGTTTTCTCTAGGCTTTGCTGTCTCCTCATGATGTGGCCAAAGTACTTCAACTTTGTCTCTAGTATCCTTCCCTCCAATGTGCAGTCGGGCTTTATTTCCTGGAGGATGGACTGGTTGGATCTTCTCGCAGTCCAAGGCACTCTCAGAACTTTCCTCCAACACCAGAGGTGGGTAAGAAACAAAATTATTATTATGATTCGTTGTTGTAGTAAAAAACCTCTAGATATAGAATTAGGGTTCTGTTGGGAAAATGTATTCTGAAGGGTTCCAAATATGAAAAAAAAAGTTTTGGAATTGCTGCCCCACTCAGCCATGGAAACCCACTGGATGATCTTCAGCAAGACACTAAGAAGAGGAAGGCAAACCCCTCTCTGAAGAACATCTTGCCAAGATAACATCTTGCGATAAACCTACCTGGAGTTTCCTTAAATTGGAAACAACTTGAAAACATATAACAAAAACCACAAGCAACAGAGAGGCAGTGGCATTGCAGGAGGCCACATCTTCCAAAGCCACACTGCAAGGGCAAAGTCTTCTCTGTTTTCCTGACAGGGCATCAGTAAGTTTGTCAAATTTTGAGACCTATGGATAGTCCAAATGTATGTTTGGACCCCTTGGCAGCAATTCAAAACCAGCCAGCAACCCACCATAAAATGTATATTTTCAAGGTACTGCTTTTATCCTGAGATTCCTTCTTCCCACACTGAAGACTGGAGAAGTGGAGCTAGACCCTGAGATCTGGGAGCTGCAGCCAGCAATCATCTCATAAGCCAGGCACAGGGGATGTCCAGATGCTGGTGAAATCCATTTCCCACCCACTTTAATTGGTCTGGTCAGTGGTTAAGTATAATGGGAGTAATAGTTAATCAACATGAAAGGCTCCCAGCCTTATTATGTCTCAGTCAGTGTCCATTGTATATAATTAACACCCAAGTTCTCATATGAATATAGTAGGAAGATGATCAGCTCATTGGAAATGTGGTGCTGAAGGAGAGTTGATGGGAAAGCAGAGACTTGCACCTGACTTGCAATGTCCAGGTGGAACATATGGGGCTCTGAAAGTTCCTTAGCCATCGCTACCCAATGGATATGCATATAACTCACTAAACAGAAACCATCAATGCTTTTTAAAAATACAGTATTTTCCAAGACAGAATTCACCAGCTACTGAATATTTTCTCAAAGTGTATGTATGACCCAACCTCAGAATTTTTCTGGGTACAAATCTGAGATAACTGTATGAGAGAGAAGAAAAGAGATGAGAAAATAGCAAATGGGTGACATGATTATAAGGCAAGCATCTTTGAAGCATCTTTTTTGTCTCTTTTATTGCTAAGGTACTTGGAAACAGTGGTTCAGAAATTAACATGCAAGTTTTAGAAGGCCATTAAGTCCCTTTTTGTGGTATTGCTTAGACCCTAAAAAGCTTTGAGTTACAGTTTCACTTAGGATATATTAGTCACTTCCTGTTAAATGCACGTACCTTGGCAATGTTCCAGTTACCAACAAAGCTATCGATCAAGGGAGTTTATTTCAGGGTTAAAATACTATTTTCCATCTCTGAAGCATTTCAGTAGATATTCTATTAGGCAATGAATAGTAAGAGTATGACTTTAAAAACATAATTCTGTTCTCCTTTTTTTGTACTAAGTATAATATGTGTAATGGTGCAAGAGACAAATATTTCAGAAATGCTATAGGAATTTTAGAAGCCCAGTGGCTTCCACAGAGACCGCAATACATTAATCCTACAATTTTGTATCCATTTACTAGGGACTGGATTAAAATCTCATGATTTACTTCTGGTAAATATGCTTAGGATCTAGAGTTCCCCTCTTCTGGTACACACTAGTTTCCATGTGAAAATGGTCATAGAACCGCATGTCATAGAACTGTAGTTTGTACTTAAACACATACCTAACAAGTATCATTAATAATTCTAATTCTAAATATTAGTAATTAAAGAGGGATCTCTCTGGAGTTAAGAGGTATTTAGCAACTGAAAAGGAAGGCTAATGAACAGCTCAGGCTCATACAGGCTTTATAGTAAGACAACTTGCTCTATCATTAAAAAGTAACTCGAGTAGAAATGTAGGTCACATCAAATCACCAGTATCAACTTGAGAGGAATGGAGAAAGCAGCAAAAATGCCGGTTGGAATACTTTCCAACTCTTATATTAGGCTCTTTTACACTACACTGCTGATGGAAGTTACAATTCTGTCCAACCAAATGATTCTCATGAACAACAAAGGTTCTCTTGCTTTCGTGAAACTATATTGAGTAATATTCAGAATGCCAAGGGGAACTAAATTAGACCTACTAAATACATTGGCAACTGATTCAAAGGGTCGCTCTTGTTGGGGCTATAAATTAGCACACAAGCTGCAGAAGTTTTTGAACTTCAGCATTATCTTTTATGGTATTTCCTCATTTTAAGTACAACATTAAATCATGTTAATGCTGTCAATTGTTTAATCCCATTTAAACTATTTTTAGTCATATTGTTTTTCAATTATAAGCTGCCTTGAGTTCCAACTCCCATCAATCCAGGCCACCATTAAAAATATTGAGGATTCATGGGAGCTGCAGTCTTGCAACCTACGGTTGCAAGTTGTTCACCCCAAATTTAGGCCCATGAATGGTTTCATATGCCTTAGAAGTGTTTTGCACTCTGGTTAGTTTTGAAACCAAGCAACCAACCACCTTCTGTGCAATCATGTATGAAAGCTTAAAGGGAGTTCAGCATAAAAGCAAGTATAGCTAAAAGATAGTGGATTTCTGTATTCTTGAAGTCTACTTTATTTACCAGATAGTGTTCTTGGTGCATTTTGTCATAAATATTTGATATCTACACAGGTTGTAAAGTATTCTATTCAAGGTAGCACCAACTATTATGAAGCATTTCACCCTTATGGAGTACATGTAAATAGACACTGGAAAGGTTTAACTTGGGAAGATGAAACACACTACGATCTCCATATTCATGGGGGACACATTCCCAGACTTCACGTGGACATGTGAAACCATAGATAACAGTGAAATTAATTAAAATGAAATACTTCTGAGCAAAGAATACCATAGAGGCATATTGTAGGACCTAGAAAATACCTAGAGGAGCATATTTTGTTATAAATTGATAAATGAAACTACAGTATTGGTTCTAGTCCTATGGATTCAGGGGTCAGATTGAAAACATTAGGAAAGATGGTTTCCAAAAGGAGCATATGTCATAGTTGTTTGCCTTTATCTGACATACATGAATAGATTATAATTTTCTAGTATGAACCTCACCTATTTTTTGAAAGCAGGCTTTTCTTTTCTAATAAGGACATGATATAAAAAAGAACTTTAATGTTTGTAATGCTTGATAGAAATACATTTAGATAAGTATGAAAATTAACTATTTCCTCTAATTCCATGCTTCAACTTGTGGTTAACCATGAACATCTGTAGAATTCATAAAGGAATCAGCATATGCAAAGTTGTAAAACATATTGGAAGAGATAGTTTTGAGGATGTCACCATTTGTAGTTAAGGTTCTTCAGGATTTAAGAATTCAGAAGATGAGCACTGTTGGACTGATGTAACCTAACCTTTTACAACTTTCAATATTTTAAGTCACTTTTTTTAGACAGACACATTTTATTTTAGAAAAGTAGCTAACACGTTTTAATATAAGGCTTTCACGATGAATTTCTAGTCTTTAGTGAATCTAGAATGCCATTTTATTTGGAACACATACCCTCGGTTTCAATATACAGATATTAATTTCCACACATGTATAGAGAAGAAACACATTTGAGGTTTTTTTGTTTTATTTTGTTTTTATTTTTGTGGCATAGTACAAAACTGGTTTCCACTTATGACTCTGAGACTCCAAAACACACTATTATTAAAACCCTTTCCCAGGGCTCGCAGACCCAGGGCTGTGTCTTTCTTGACTAAGTCTTAACCACCTGTAATGAGGTCTTCCTTTTTCCCTGATATCTTCCACTTTATAGAGCTTTTTTGTCTTTTCCAATGAGTCATGTCGTCTTCAATATATTCAAAATATGACAGTTTAAGTTTAGCTCATCTGACATTAGTGAGAGCTCAGGCATGCTTTACTCTCAGACCCAAATGTCTTTTTTGTCCATGATATCCACAGAATCCCTGCATTACATTTAAAACTGTTTTTTTTCCCTATCAGCTTTCTCCATTGTCAAGCTCTCACAATCACACACAGTAATAAAAAATACAGCATGGATTATTCTAATTGGCATTCAATTATATATTCTTACAATTTAGCATATCATCTAGTTACTTTATAGATGCAATTTTAAACTCCACTTTCTTCCTTAACTTTAAAGATTAGTGCTAGTCTTTGGTGTTATCATTTTTGCTATTAATATGGTACCGGTCACATATCTTAAATTAGTAATGTTTGTTCCTCCAGTTTTCACTTACATCTAACTCCATTTTTCATTTGATACATTCTATGAACATGATGCAAAGCACCCTTGATGGACTTCCTTGCCAGTTTGAAAATATTCAGTTTCTCCAAATTCTATCCTGACAATGACCTCTTATCCAACATGGGGGTGCTTTGAATGTGATTTTCCTGCTTTTTGGCAGGGGGTTGGACTGGATGGCCCACGAGGTCTCTTCCAACTCTATGATTCTATGAGGACAACTGAATGTTGGAGCACACTCATTTTCTTAGAATAGTCAGTCAGCAGATCCACTTCACTTTTAATGACCTATACAATAAAATGTTTGAAGTACAGACTGATTTTCCCCCCTGAAATTCTTTGAAGCAATCTAATATTCAGTATGTTTGCAATAGGATCATCACTGGTGCTTCTTCTTTTGTGAACTCTGCTTTGACATCTGGCGTTTCTCTTATATGATAATAATCTTAATTATAAAATTTTGCACATGACCTTGCTCACGCTAGAGATGAATACAATTGTCCAAGTCGGTAAACCTTTGTTATTCCATTTCTTGATAATAAGAATGTATGTTTAGCATTTCCAATCTACTGAATTTTTTTTTGTTTTTTTTATTTCTTGGCAGTCTTATTTATTTTTATTTGCATGGATTCTGGCTCTATAACTTGAAACTGCTCTATGCCATCTGTTCCTGTTAACACCCCAAAGAGTTTGAAACCAGCTTCTGTTTTCTGGTATTGTAGATCTTCGTCAGAACATTCTACTTTGAAGAAAAAATATATTTTCAGTGTATTTCTGCATCTGCTGGGGAAATGTTAAAAGCAACATTAAAGTCACCAAATCCCTAGATTATTGTCACTAAAATAATAGCAACTTATATATATGTAGGCTTGGGTACTACTTCTGTTCTCTTTGAAGGAGAAATCAGATTAGATCACATGCATTCATAATATTCAGTCTCCAAATCTTGGCAGTATATCTATGGTAATTAGCTCCATGCCATGCTTGAAAAAGTTATTTTGGACTACAACTCTCAGAATGCAGCAGCCAGCTATGAGCACTCAGAGTTGCATTTCCCCAAAAGCCCTGGTTCTAGAAAAAAATAGATATAGCTCTTACCTATGAGGAGATAATATTTATACAAAACACTTATCTCAGTATTTCACTCTCCAGATGTTTTAGGCATAAATACTTATCACCAGCCAAGTGGAGAGGGGCTGGAATTGCAGTATATATGGAGGGCCAAAGGTTCCCTGCTATTGTTTAATCTCAAATCAGGAGACCATGAAAGCTAAAACATGTCAAAATTATAATGCAAAAGAATAAATGAAGTCAACAGGATAAGCAGCAAATGCTCAGAATACATTTCACTAATTTCATGTGCCACACACTTATAGTACAATTAATGTGCTTGAAAAAATGGTTCTGATCCAGATGGGGTTCTTCATAACAATTAGAGGACCCAGATATGGATATACAATCTTCTTCTGCATTGTGCTCATTCTACAAATGAATATCCCTTCTTGGAATGGAGAGGTCTCTCATGAGAATTGGTTTTCTAATTATTCTGTCTTGCTGTATTATACATTGCAGTGGGTTACGGCGCAGTGGGTTAAAGCACTGAGCTGCTGAGCTTGTTGATCGCAAGGTCGCAGGTTCGATTCCGGGGAGCGGCGTGAGCTTCCGCTGTCAGCCCTAGCTTCTGCCAACCTAGCAGTTCGAAAACATGCAAATGTGAGTAGATCAATAGGTACCGCTCCGGCGGGAAGGTAACGGCGCTCCATGCAGTCATGCCAGCCACATGACCTTGGAGGTGTCTACGGACAACGCTGGCTCTTCGGCTTAGAAATGGAGATAAGCACCACACCCCAGAGTCAGACATGACTGGACTTAATGTCAGGGGACTACCTTTACCTTACTAAGCAGAATATTTATAAGCAATATAGTAGAATCAAGACAATAATACAAGAAAACTTCTTGAAAGTTTTTATTTCATATATAAAATTAACTTAAATTTTAATTTCCCAGAAAAAGTAACATTCAAGATGAAATTGTTTGCAGAAGTGATTATGGAGATACATATTTTATTTAAAAATATATGGTCACCACATAGAATTGTTTTTCATTTTAATATTTTTGATACACAGCAGCTTCAAATATTTAGTGCATAAACAAAAGAAAATATTCATAGGAGTAAAAGGGATTGCGGTGGGGAATCAACAGCATAATCTCTTTATTCCAGTCAAGTTATCCAGAGGTGCTAATGCATCCAACATTACCCATGCAGGCTGTTTTGCATAATAAGGAGCTTCAGTATCCTTTCCTTCCTCTGAATCTTGCTCTGTTATCCAACTGTTAAGGAAAAGAAAAAAATACATTAGGATTATAACATCCTAATGAAATATTGCAATTTTCCTAGCATTGTTGTTTTACAAAATAAAGGTACAGACAGGATATCTATATTACATCTCTTGAAGTAATCATAAACAAGTAGCTGCTTATTTAAATATTTATGTACCATTGCTTCCTTTGCATGAAGGCTTACATTAAAAAATGCATCTAGTCAAGTAAATTGAGTACACAGCAAAAGCAGAAACTTTACCTTCTCCCCAGTGATTTACACACTGACATTCAGCTTCAAGGCGACCCAAATTCAGAGATTTTCTAGATCTACTCAGAAATTGCTGTAACTGAAGAAAAGGAGAAGTCCCTTCTTCTAGAGCAGTGTTCAAATTGTGCTCCTCCAGGTGTTTTGGACTTCAGCTCCCAGAAATCCCAGCCATCTAAACAGCTCTTAGGGAGTTGAAGTCCAAAACACCTGGAAGAGCAGTTTGAGAAACTCTGGTCTAGACCTTAATAGCTTCACCTTACATAAACGAAGGAAGGCCTATTTTTTAGTAGAAATACAGTATTGCTTAATACTACGTTGTAGTACTTTAAGGCATATTCAGAGATTTAGGAGCCACTAGAAAATAGGTTATTTATTTATCGTGTCATCACAAACTAAGCAATTATTCTGAATGGTTGTTAGATTATTTTTCAGATTATCAGAAAATAGAATCTCTTGCATTTATATTTGATTCCCCTTCCTTGTTCAGATCTACTCCATCTTCTCGCATTCTCTACACCAGTATTTCTAAAACTGTGCTCCTCCAGGTGTTTTGGACTTCAGCTCCCAGAAACCCCAGCCAATTTACCAACTGTTAGGAATTGTGGGAGCTGAAGTCCAAAACACCTGGAGGAGTGCAGTTTGCATTCTGCTCTCATTCTAGGAAAGTGGTGTCAGGACATCAGCAATGAGAGATAAGTGCATCCCTTTATCTTCTCTTATAAAATCCCTAGCTTCCCAGAATACAAGTAAGTCATTACGTTGTATAATGCCAAGTACTTTTAGTCTCAGGACTCTCAGTTTAGTATTGACTAAAAGCCCAAATGCACATAAAAGTGGAAGTGTTTTTATTACTTGATTCCTTTTACAATGTGGTTAACTTTTTCTCAGGAAATGTATGTACAAGATGTTTATTTAAGCCATCACAGCAACCTTTAGCAAGCTTTTCCATGACTCAATCTTTTGGTGCGGAATGAAACAGTAGATTAATTTATACATTAAATGAAGCAAGGCAAGAATTAATATTCACCATTTGTTTTGGTAAGGTTTCATAGTTGCACATTTTTTAAAAAGAAAGAAAATCATTTGCAGTAAAAAAACAACAAAAAACCCCTAACTCACCATTGATCGTTTGCATTCAAAAAATGAAACTAGCAAGCCTCTGCAATGACCTTCCTTCAAGCACAGTTTTGGGCTTTTCCCTTCCTGTCATAAAAGATATCGGAGAAAGCACTCAACATATTTATTCAGGCACGCACATAAATGTGATTTTATTCAATTATATATCATCGTTCATAATGAAGCATTTGCAAGTCAACTTACAATATGTCCAAAACCAGCATTAAAGAAAAATTAAAAGGACAGATGAGCAGCAGAAAGAAAAACAATCCAAGGGTCAACATAAAGGCAATAAGGCTTCCTCTCAAAACATACTGAAGAAGGAAAAGCTCTTCCTCATAGTATTTATTTATTTATTTATTTATTTATTTATTTATTTATTTATTTATTTATGATATTTCTATCCCACCTTTCTCGAGGCAGCTTTAGTATGTCTACAAAATCAGAATTCTCATGGAAATATTTCTAAAGCCCCTGAAACACCACTGTTAAGCCCCAGTTTCAGATCATCCCCGTTTCTAAATTAACAAAAAGTCAAAAGATGAGATCCTGAGATCTGCTGGGGAGGCCCTCCTCTCGGTCCCGCAACCGTCACAAGCGTGGTTGGTGGGGACAAGAGAGAGGGCTTTCTTGGTGGTGGCCCCACAAGTTTGGAACTCGCTCCCCAGGGAGATTAGACAGGTCCCCACACTGTCCTCCTTTCATAGGGACTTGAATACATGGCTCTTCAATCATGTCTTTGAAAATGTTTAGTCCCTACTTGTCCTGCGTAGTAGTCACACATCCTGCACTTTATCCCATACCCTCTCTCCATTACTGCAGCTGGCACTTATTTTGTTCCTAATGTTTACAGCCTGGCCATGTTTACAGCAATTTACCGCCATGGTTAGAGGACTGCAGTTTGATTGAGTCTGAGTTGATGTTTTATATATACACGTGTTTTATTTTATTGTATTTTGTATTCCCACTCTTTGGGGAAACGGTGGCAAGATATAAGAATAAAGTTGTTGTTTTTGTTGTTATCCTCCAAAGCCTGTCTTAGTACTTAGATAAGTCAACATTGGTACAATATGCCATTCCACAAAGACAGTAGAGAAAGTGTTTTTTTAAGAAAAGAAAGTAATAAGGAAATGCTGTGCTACAATTTGGCAGCTGCAGTGCAGACACATAACAGACCACTGTAGCATACATCATCAGTGATTTTACTAGTACATTCAGAATGTTCCTGTCAAACAAGATTTGTAAATAATTATTTTTACTGTTGTCTCCTATTTCACATGGTAAGCATATTTGTTTTAACAAATTCCAGCTAAATTATCTTTACCGAAATCTTAATTCTAACTCCGCTCATGAAATCATGTCTTCACCATCTGGGCAAATAAACGGCATGCATGCACACTGCTGTTTTTGTTGCTGCTGGATTTGTTGTTTTAGATTTTGTTAAATTTTCCAACGTTTGAGTTATCCTACTGTGACATGGTCTGGTACAGAAGGAGGCCAATGAGGGTGACATCGACCTAGGTGGCAGCACTGTCTAACCTGATTACAAGATCTTCAAAACTTGTGCACTTAAGGCTCATTCAGGTTGCACCCACCAATCCTACCTATTTCTTATTATCACCTAACCAGAGTGGTTTAGGGCATGACCACCCTACTTAAAAACAAAAAGCTCCTCAACTTGCCCATTTGTTCCAATAGTTTGAGACAATGCACCTTAAACTATGTAGGCACTGACAACTTCTCCCACAATGCTATGATGGGAAACTGCACCGGGCAACACATGAAAAGTCCTGCCTCTTATTTTCTGTATGGTGTTTCAGCAGAATTTTTATTCAAATATCCCTGTAATTAGATATAACAACAGAAATCTTTCTTTCAAAAGTCCAGTTTACATGCACTGAATCAATATAAGCTAAAAGTCTATGCTGTTTTATTTTCTGAACACTGTAACAGCATGAGCTCCAGTCAGAGCTGATATTAATACCCAATTACGACACTGTGAACGCTCTGATCTACACTGCCATATAATACAGCTTCAACTTGCATTATATGACCGTGTAGCTGGGCTCTACATCTGCACACACTACCAGCATACACTACTGTCTCCAACAGGTCTGAGTTTTTTAAAATAATAACGGGTTTTTGTCAATTTTTTTCTTACATTTTTGGCTACAATATTGTGGCATGTTCTAGTACAGGACAAGGTGCATGGGGAGGGGACACCAGGAATTAATGCATCAGGTGACATCAATGAAGAGCTTTCCAACTGTGTGGTAGGACTTGTTAGTGCAGTGGTTCTCAACCTGTGGGTCCCCAGGTGTTTTGGCCTACAATTCTCAGAAATCCCAGCCAGTTTACCAGCTGTTAGGATTTCTGGGAGTTGAAGGCCAAAACATCTCGGGACCCACAGGTTGAGAACCACTGTGTTAGTTGTAGTGTGTAAGTTTGTCACGTGAACATAATAAGAAACCTGAGTCTATGTGAAATGAATGGTTTCCATGAGGTTTACAATTTATGTATGCACCCGTACCTTTTATAAAGGGTTGGCTTAACCTCTGCTTTGCTTGTAAAACTGAATTGATGTGCCGCGAAATAGTGCAAGTCTAAAAAAAGGTGTGTCACCAACATAAAATGTTGGGAAAGCTCTTGTCTCACCTGACCACAAATTCCTACACAGCTTCAACATTTGTACACTTCAGGACTGTTTAGGTGAAACCTTAGTAGTCATGTATTTAATACTGTCACTTCATCTGGAGGGGCAATTACCCTACAGAAAAGGAAAGGCCCCCAGCTGCATAAGGCAATGGTTTGGGACTTCAAATCCCAGAAGCCCCTGCCAGATTGGACAACTGTCAGGAATTCTGGGAGCTGAAGTCCAAAACACCCAGAGGACCAGGCATCAGGGAAAGCATGTCAGGCTGCCTGGTGTGAGAAATGGGAAGTGGGATCGGCCTCCTATTTATCCCTCACTGGCTCCTTCTTCGCTTGCTTTTTTCCTAGAAGCGCCAAAAGGGCCTGAGGCTGTTAGGAATGCTGGGAGTTGGAGTCCAAAGGGGCGCCTGGGCCTCTACCTGGATGACGCAGCTGCTCTCGATCAGGCACGTGCGCAAGTCCTCGCGCACCCCCGAGCACGCGCGTCCGCCCTGCTCCTTCTCTTCGTAGTACTTGGGCATCGCGGCCGAGGAGCGACCCCCCGCCCTCTTCCTCCTCCCTCGGCTTCGGCCTTAGTTTGCGCATGCGCAAGGAAGGCCACGCCCCTTTCCAGCCTAGGCCGCCTGTACCTGACTCGTAGAGCTATGAAATAAGAGATACACCCGTAGTTTCTCAGACTACGATTTCCTAGTATTTTAGACTTTTAACTCCCAGCATTCCTAACATCCTCAGGCTCTTTCCTGGGAGTTGAAGTCCAAAACTCCTGAGGGCATTGAGCACGGCATCGCACTCAAGGCCTGCTTGTCAAGACTACCCGTCACGCACCGCGGCGATAGGGAAGGCTCTCTCGCGCGACTGGCGGGCGCTTTGCGCCTGCGCTCTGCCGCCTTCTTCCCGGAAGACGCTGAAAGAGAAGGGAGAGGACAGCTGGTGTGAGTTGGCAGCGTTCGGAGGGACGCCCCCTTCTCCTTCGCGGGGCGCGCGGCTGCTTCCTAGGAGCCCTTCGAGCGCCCCCCCACTGACAGAAAGGGGCGGGGCTTGGAGGCGGCGCGTGAGGGACATAACGGTAGGCAGGCGCGCGAGTCCTTTCCTCGGGTGCTCAAGCAGCCCCCCCTCCTCCCCCTCCCCACACGGGAGCATGGAGGCAGCTTGGCACCACTCGCACTGCCATGGCTCAAGGCTGGGAAATCATAAAAGAGTTGTCGTTTGGGGAGGCTACAACTCCCAGGCTGTGTTGTTTTGCCTCGACCCTTTTCCTCCTTGGATCAGATCACTTCCACTTTTTTTATTCCTTGTAGTTGTTGTTGTTGTTAGTAGGTTGTACTTAGAACTCTTTCTTTCCTGCTGTGTTTCCACAACATTCATTATGCTGGGAACCTGATCTCCTCTCCTTACAAAGGAACACTTGAAAGACATACAAAGGAAAGCTGGTTACCTGGTAAGAGTTAATAGAGCTATATGATGAGGCAGCCTGGGATCTCTAAATATGGCTTGTTGTAAGTTTTTATTTATTTATTATTTTATTTATTAACTTTATTTGTACCCCGCTAGCATCTCCCGAAGGACTCGATGCGGCTTACACAGGCCGAAGCCTCAGAACACAATACAATAGAAACATAAACACAACAATAAACAAAGCAAATCAAAATAATTAAGCAAWATAACAGCAACAGTGAYAATRCAWCAAGACAYTTYAAAACTGGRCYGGCYGGYRCARTGGGGGTACAGGGTTACAGGGTTAAAAGTGCTGAAAWGGCRGGARGAAHRYAGGATTAARATAGTGYGGTGTGCAGTAATATTGATTGTACTAAAGTGCTTCTAGGACTTGGGATGGGGGATTCCTAATCTGAGAAGGCACATCGGAACAGCCAAGTTTTTAGCTGCTAAAGTAGGGGCCTGTCGAAGATCTTTTGGAAGGGCATTCCAGAGTCGGGGGGCCGCCACAGAGAAGGGCTGTATGGCCATGTTCCAGAAGCATTCTCTCCTGATGTTTCACCTGCATCTATGACAGGCATCCCCAGAGGTTGAAACTTCACAACCTCTGAGGATGCCTGCCATAGATGCAAGTGAAACGTCAAGAGAGAATGCATCTGGAACATGGCTATACAGCCTGAAAAACGACAATCCAGCCATGAAAGCCTTTGACAATATCTCTAAATGTTTTGCAGCATGATTAAAGCAGAATCTCAGTAAAAAGTAATACATAGGCTGCAATGGAAGTACTGTATCTTCCTCCTTCCCTTGAGTAATAATAATAATTTATTTATTTGACTAGTCATATGACCATTTTAAAATACAACACACCTGCAGGAGGCCATAGCAACACCTCTTTGGCCCTGTTGCCTTACAACTCCTAGGCAGGATGCCTCCATGACCACACAACCTCGTGCTGAGAGTATTTCAATGGCCTAACTGCCCACCGCCAGCCATAGCAACACCTGCGCGGTGCCATAGCAACACCCCTTCGCTCCTGCTGCCTTACAGCTCCTGGGCAGGACACCTCCATGGCCACATAGCCTTGTGGCAAGAGTACTTCAACGGCCTAGCAGCCTGGCCATAGCAACACCTATTGAATTACTCCTTTTGTTTTAATTGTATTACATCAAGACCAGAATGAAATCCAAAGAAGTACTGTATCTTTCTCCTTCCCTTGAGTAATAATAATAATTTATTTGACTAGTCATATGACCATTTCAAAATACAACACACCCGCAGGAGGCCATAGCAACACCTCTTTGGCCCTGTTGCCTTCCAACTCCTAGGCAGGATGCCTCCATGACCACACAACCTCGTGCTGAGAGTATTTCAACGGCCTAACTGCCCACCGCCAGCCATAGCAACACCTGTGTGGGGCCATAGCAACACCCCTTCGCTCCTGCTGCCTTACAGCTCCTGGGCAGGACACCGCCATGGCCACATAACCTTGTGGCAGTACTTCAACGGCCTAGCAGCCTGGCCATAGCAACACCTATTGAATTACTCCTTTTGTCTTAATTGTATTACATCAAGACTAGAATGAAATCCAAAGAAAAAGCACACAAATCTGAAACAATTATATCTTGTAAGCTGCTCTGAATACCCTTCAGGGTGAGAAGCACAGCATATAAATGAAATAAATAAATAAATGACAAGGCAGCAGCTGACCTTCTATTTACAGTCAAAATCTTATTTTCCTGGTTCTTCTTTCAGGAAATGTGCACTTTTCTTGATAGCTTTCAGAATACAAAGACTTACTTTGATTATGGTGGATCTTTCCTGTCCTTGCAAGAGGAACATCAGAAGATCATTTCTGTTGGGGGACCTAAAGTTGGATAATATTGGATGAAAATACCTGTATCGCAGTTCAGTATATGCTGTACAGTCAATCAGGAAATGTTCAATATCTTCCACAGTTTGTTCTCCCCATACGCAGCATTTCTAACTTATTGGGATGTTACAGTAATGCCCAGTTTGCATCAAAATTCTGAGTTGTTCAAACCTAGCCCTAGTATATATTCTTCTTAATATAATATATTCTTGAGTAAAGAAGTGAATTCATTTATTAAGTTCTGGTTTGATGCTGCATCTCTGGCCCTTGCAGACAGGCCCTATATCCCAGGTTCTCTGTTTATCCCAGATTTTCTGGCAATGCGAACTCATATAATCCAGTTAAAAAAAGAAAACTTTAACCCAAGTCAACCCAAACTCTCCCTATGTGGTTTTATTGTGCCAAAATCAGCAAAACGTAGCAGCGAGTGCTACAGATCCTACAGTCTTTACAAGTAATATGTTAGATGTGCTTTTAATCTTTAAAAAAATGATGTAGGTGACTGTATTTTGATAATGAATGGGCTGAATGGAAACTGCATGCAGATTAAAATGTAATGTTAGTCCTACGCCACATGGGCAAGTCATGGCTTTGGAGTTGAAAACATAGTGGGCACACTTCTGCCTCATAAATGCAAAGATGGCCTTGCTGACCATAAAAAATTCCAGCATCCATATTATGGAGATATTTTGTTGTTGTTCATAGTTGCCAAGTATGCTGTGAATGAGAGACCTCCAAGTCACTCTATCCTCAACAGCCCTGCTAAGTTCTTAAAGACTCGGGGCTATTTCCTTCTTAGTGGAGTCTTATTTCTATTGCAGTTTTCCTCTTCCTACTTTTTCCCATTTTACCAAATATTGTTGTATTTTCTAATGAGTTCTGCTGTCCCTATAAGCCAGTGGTTCTCAACCTCTTGGTCCCTAGGTGTTTTGGCTTACAACTCCCAGAAATCCCAGCCAGTTTACCAGCTGTTAGGATTTCTGGGAGTTGGAGGCCAAAACATCTGGGGACCCACAGGTTGAGAACCACTGCAAGTCTCTGCTCTCGATCCCGCCTGCTTCTCAAGCTCGGCTGGCGGGGACGAGAGATAGGGCCTTCTCAGTGGTGGCTCCTCGGCTGTGGAACGCCCTTCCTACGGACATTAGACTAGCACCATCTCTAATGGTATTCCGCAAAAAGGTGAAGACCTGGATGTTTGTGCAGGCGTTTGAGTAATTTAGTGCAATCTGGTAATGGAACATAGGAATGGAACAATGGACGACGAACCTGGACTATGCTTGGATGATGAGAAGATTGGGTACGGTTGTTTTTTGTAATAATTGTGCATTGTAATTGCTTATTGGTAATTTATGGATAATGTGTTAAGTCAATTGTTATATGTTGTATGGAACCACTGCTGTTTCTACTGTTTTTACTGTTTGTGAACCGCTGTGAGTCGCCTTCGGGCTTGAGATACAGCGGTATATAAGCAAAGTAAATAAATAATAAATAATAAGTCTAGCCAACCTGATGGCATTATTTGGAAGCACAGGGCTGTAAATGCTTTTCTAAGGGTTTACAGATGTTAAGTCTTGAAGATATTGTTGACAATATTGCTCACTCTTTAGTAGAGGATATTAAGTAGTGAAACCTTGCTGTTTACTACACTACAAGTTGTCAGTTGCATCCATCTCAAAGATTTTATCTCTAATCACCTTCTTGTCCAACTACATTAAGGTTGTTGTTGACCCATCAAAATACTGAAGGAGCAGGGCCAACCAGTATTGAGCCCAACCTCCCTTCTTATATTGCTCCATCAAGCATTCCTTTATTATACTCTCATTCTCCATTTCCAGAAGGCTCTTCCCATATGAGATGTTAAGCTTATGCATTCTGATCTTAAGTGAGGGAAGATCCAATTCAAGCCTTAACAAGGCAGATGGTGTCCCAGGGGGAAGGGCTAAAAGAGCTCTTACAAACTTATTCTGGATACATTCAACCTGCTTTGTGTTACCCAGTCCCCATATTTCCACTTTGTAGAACAATTGTGGTACAATTTTAGTTGTAGAAATCTTAATTGGGGGATATAGCAAGGAACCCCTTTGTATTGTTGAAGGCTTTCATGGCCGGAATCACTGGGTTCTTGTAGGTTTTTTCGGGCTATAAGGCCATGTTCTAGAGGCATTTTCTCCTGACGTTTCGCCTGCATCTATGGCAAACATCCTCAGAGGTAGTGAGGTCTGTTGGAACTAGGAAAATGGGTTTATATATCTGTGGAATGACCAGAGTGGTGCAAAGGGCTCTTGT